GGGGGGGGGGCGAGGGTGGCAGATGGTGACAGGCTCCCCCATGAACCGCTGGGGCTGGGCCGGTACAGTCGCAGTGGACGGTGGTACGGGTAATCGAGAGTAAACTTTTAGCTCAGCTTGTATCTTCAGGCGCACGAGCAGGGGGAGGGAACTGTCAATCAATCAATTTTTGCCGTGTGTGTCCAGCACGTGTCTAGCTAGGGGCAAGTAGTGCCTTAGCCCTTGCTCCGTCGCAAACGTTTGTGCAACCGTTGGTGTTCAAGAACAAAACGTGTGGTATATAATGCTAAAGGAAAGTGTGTGGCATGGCAGGGATGTCCGGCCCGTGCCGCGGCGAGCTGAGCGAGCGCGCAACATCAGCCAGGCCGTTGACTCAATGAAAATCCCCCATCGCATTCAGAGGCTCTGCGTCGTACGGGTCTCCCTGCCGGCTCCGCGTCACCCCGCCCCGCCCCGCCACTGGGCTAGAACTTGGACGGCGGCCAGGGGTGCAGCGAGGGCTCGGGGACGGGAACCCATACCTCACTCAGTCGCTGCTGCTTCTGGCCGGCACAAGGACTCTCCTCTCTCTCGATAAGTGCGGCTTTGCGGATCCGCAGAGCCGAAGCCGGCCCGAGCCGCGCGGTCCGCGGCCAAAGGCGGGCCAAGGGCGAGTCGGCCCTTCCCTTCCCCTCCGCAAGAGTGCGGCCGCCCCACATATCGCGCCCCGCGGCACCTGCACGCGCCCTTAAAACGGATGTACACGGATACAACGGCCCCAGCCAGCAAACTTTGCACTCCACTATCCGTATGGACTCCGCCTCCGCTACACCTGGCCGAGACCATAGGGGAGAGGGTTTATTTGCGAAAGATGTTTAAAAACGACGGGTGCGCCCCGGTAGAGGTAGAGTCTCTGAGCGAGTAGAGTAGGCACGGCGCGACAGGAGACCCTCGAGCGAGGGATGTCGCCTACAGGGGAGGTGGCGGGGACGAGTTTGGGGGAGGGACGCTATGGGGCGCCCGGGGGCGCGACTGGTCCTTAGAGCGCGGAATATCTGCACGAAGTGGGTCGCACCGTGCCGCGCTTTAGCGAGGGCGGAAACCAGGCCACACGCCGCGCGGGCAGGGCGGGGGGCGGGGCGGGGCTGGGCGATGTTGGACCGAAAGCAGAAACGCCTCACGTAAACTCTTGTGCTCTCCCCCGCACTTCCCGGGCCACGCTCACGGGAAACGTGAAAGGTGCATCCAGGAAAAAGGATGCTGCTTGTTACAATAAGTATATTGAATACATACTTACATGCCTAGGGAGGTTTCTGTGCCGTTGCGTTGTGCCAGATTCAACTTTTTTGTTCAAGATTTAGAAGCCTGCCCGCCTAGCCAAAACGTCTCTTCTGGCCCCATCCCAAGCCTTAGGTGACAGGCGTTTAACGTTACGGTATGGTTCAGCAGACAGCCACGTGGGCGCCAGGTTGCACATTTTCTCACGGTCATCACCTCTTTAACGCACACGCTGACGCTTTGAAGTTGACGGACGATGCCAATGAGGATTTTGTTTAAATGAGCGCCATGAGGGTTCACCCCATCCTCCCTCCTCACGCAGACACAGCACTATCACTCCCACCGTTTCTCTCGCGCCCCCCGCTGCCCCTCACGACGCCTGCTGAGCGGAAGATGGGGGACCGACCGGGGATCGCCCGGAAAGGCGCCTGCGAGGCTCAGGGTAGGCTACCCCGCAGTACACGCATGCGCTCCAGCCAAGATGTTGCCTACCTCACAGGCGTTATGAGAGCTCACAGCGGCTAAACTTAGCGCAGGTTTGTAACGGTGAATGACGGACGTGCTCTCTGGATGATCCCTCAGCTCAGGCGGCGTGGCCATTCGTTGCCTACCCACCCGGTGCCTCACTCATTGCAACTACTCAAAGTCTTCTCTTTTAGGTATGGGAACATTTAAGTTGGAGTGCTTACCTGGTGACGGCGGCTCGCGCGCCACGCTGGACAGCGGCACCAGGAGGCCCCGGCGCGGCTCGCAGGCGAAGAGGCGCCGCCCGCCCCACCAGCCGTCAATGCCGCCGAACGGCAGCGCCACGTCCTGTCGACGACAACACAATATCATTTCGACGTCGAATTTGTGTCGCCTTGAGCCTTCTCGAAATGTCGTTTTGACTGCCGATTTTGAAGTCATGTCGAACTTTTTATGCACTCATCAGAACCAGGGTAGGGATTTGAAAATCCGAAACTTGTCCGGAAAAATTAGGAAAATTTTCCAGAAAAAGTAGGAAAATATTGAAACATTTCCAGAAAAATTGGAACAAAACAAAGACTTTCCAGGGAATTAAATAGAAATTTAAAAAAACAATTAAAAAGGTTCCCGAAATTATTATATATTTTTTTTGAAAAATTATAATCCCTACACCAGACTCGTCCTGAGACTCGACGCTGTCCTGGTATACTTGCTACGCATACTCACCAGCTCGATGCCCAGGGTCCAGGACGGCCCCATCTCGGGGAGCTTGCCCATCCAGCGGACGACGGCGCCCTGGGGGATGCCGCTGCCGCTGCCCAGCCACAGCACCCGCTCGCCCACCAGCACCGGCGGCACGGCCCCCGAGGCCATGGCGCTCACGTGCGCGGCCTGGGGTGCGGGCCCCGGCGGCTCGGAGCCCCACGAGCGGCCCCATCTCCAGGGGTCCATCGCACAGCATCACTGCAACACCCGCACGGGATCAGGAGAGGGGCGAGACACGGGAAAACGAGGTATGTGAGTGTGTGTGTGTGCGGAAGACGACAGACTCGCGTCGGTCGGCACAGCAAAGAGGAAGTGCTCGAAGCCAAGTACCCCCCCCCCCTCCCCCTACTAGATGAAAGGTCAAGCCCTCGCCCGTCCCCCTCGCCACGCAACCCCTTGGGCGAGGCGAGGAAACGGCAGAAGAGACGGACGCCGCACCACGGTCCTCGCACGCTCTCTCTCACTCACTCACTCTCGCGGGTTACACCAGCGAGGGGAGGTGGGCGTGCGTGCAGGGAGTTCCCTCCTCCCCCTCCCACGCGCGGACTTGTCCTACTCTCCGCTCAAATCTAGGTTGGGTTAGGTCAGAGCTATCGTCGCGCCGGGGGTTGACGACGCAGCCCCTCCACACTGCTCGGCAGCCGAGAGGCGGCTCCAGGCTCCAGCTCCCCAACGGCGACGGTAACACCAAGTCCGCGACGGCAACCCGCGGCATCGGCGCGGCGGGCACCACGACCGACCGCGACGGCGGCGGCGCGTCAGGGGCGAAGGTCGCCCCGCGCCCCTTTCTCTCTCTCTCACACTCCCTCCGCCCAAAGGCAGGTGCGACAGAGGCAGGTGCTCACCTTGTTACGCTGCGCCCAAGGTCCGCGGTGTGGCGCCGGCTAGCAGTGGTCGCCGACTGGAGACGACAATGCCCCGGCGGCACCAGCACCGGTCATGCCGCGCCCGCGACCCTGCGTGTCCTGTCCTGTCGTGTCGTGTCCAGCTGCAACAGGTCCCCGGCCCGGCCCACCGCGCCCCGAGACTCAGGAGGAGCAGCGTGCGAGCGTCGGCCCGGCCGTCGACGGGCTCCTCGTGGTGTCTAAAGTCCTCCCTGGCGTGCGCGGGCCGGGGCTGCCGGGCAGCTGAGCACCGTGCCTGGCTGGGGCGGGCCGCGGGGCCGCGGGGGCCCCGGGGCGGCGGCGGCGGTGGCAGCGCGGCTACTTTTAGACGGCCGTCCTCACCGCGGCCAACCGCCCGTCCGAGTGAGACAGACTGTTTGAGAGGCGGCCGGCGCGTGCTCCAAGGGTTGTCCGCCATGGACAGCATCGTTGGCCCGCTCTAAGTGTGACAGGTCATGTTCGAGGGGATCGGCACGGCATTGCATCCAGCCAGAGCAGCAGCCCCAAAGCGTGGCCGAAGCCGCTTCGTGGGTCCCGCCAAATGATCACGTGCGATGCGTTGTGTTGGGACTTCCCTGGGGGCATCATAGCTTTGCGGTGCAGTCGACAAGCACCTCCACCAAGAAAGGGATTTTTATACTCTTCAAAAAATAAAGAAAATGTGGCGTGACTGTTGGAAAATTTATTGTTTGTAGCGATACACTTGTCATAACTAGAAGTACTTCTGGATGGGTTCACCCAAAACTTGTTCAAGATCCTGGACCGCTCTCCTACACGCAGTCTCAATTGATTCCTCTTCATCTTCAAGAAGTTCTGCTAAGAACGGCACAGTTTCTGGCAGCAGTGGCAAGAAACCTTCACCCAGCTTACGAGCAACTCCACTAACAGCTTCCAGTGAAACTAAGCGTACCTAAAAATCACAGAGGACAAAAATTGATTTTACAATAATGTTGACTTTCTTGATTTATAAGTAGGGTTGTCAAAACTTAATTGATTTCTTAAAAGAAAATGTAACTATTGTCATACCATAGGAGTTGCGTGTCTTGTTTTCAGTAAGATCTGATAATTTAGCTGTTTCCACAGAGTGTCATCGGTGCATGCTACTGCCATTTGAGAAATACATGGCACTAACACATCAGTAGCTCTCTGTCTCAGTCCCTCAACTCCACCTAAAGTATTTTCCAGCTGTGATAAACACAAGTTGATTGTTATTCCTCAATAATACTGAATAAAGAATGAAATTTGTACATTAATTGTACAATGATACAAACCTGATCAACAATTGGTTGCATTAATGTCTCAAATCTTTCTTTGCTGAGAAAATTTTGAGAATCATAAAGGAAAACATAATTTAATGTCTTCAGAATACTATTAACTAATGTAGCACTCTTCTCTTCTGCAATTTGTTCACTACCAAAGAAAAGCTCCTCATGCCGAGGGCCATTTGATTCCTGTGGCAATTGATCATCAGTATCTTTTTCTCCTATTTTGGAGATATTACAATGATCTAACAATTCAGCGGCATTTTTAAGGAAATGACCAGCAAATGAGACATAGAGTCCCTTCAGGCATTCTGCCATACCGTGTGACAACCTGCACAAAAAAATAATTGTTGCACATTAACTCTCAACTGACAAGTATTGGTGAGCCATAGACTTTAAAAGTACTTACTTATAAAATGTAATAGTCCTCTCTTTGTTATTTTCATTGAGGCGAGTAGCCCATTCATATAATCTGAAGTACAGTGGTCGGAAAGAGGTTTCTGACAATTTGAGAACAAATGCAACCAGGGCTTTTATCACATGATTTTCAACAACATCAACCTGATCTTGGGTCACATCAGCACCAGAAGAGCATCTGAATTGTAATGCACTTAAGAAAAAGTCTGAGAGAGTACTTTGCAGTGCAGTAAGATCAGCACTAGTCAACCCCACAAAACTCTCAGCTAACACACTCATTAATGGGCCGACAGCATCCAACTGTTTCTTTGATATAAGGTCCTTGTAAGCATTTTCCACTGCTGGAACTAACACACGTGTTGGAACAGTTGATGCCAACTTTTGCCTGAGGAAAACAAAACAAAATGTGGTAAATATGAATAAAACACATAAAAATAACGATATTTCTTGCAACACAGAAAAACGATCAGGAGCATAACAGACCTAGTGCCCTTGAGTTTGGATGCCACGTGAGCAGCCTTGGCTTGGTCCTCCTCTTCGTGGAAATGCGAGGCTGAAAGTCCACATAGTTCCACTAGAAGAGGATGGAGGTACGGACTGATGAATGCAGCCAGGCTTTCCACAATTCGGTAAAGGGAAGCAGCTAAGCTAACTTGCACTACATCAGGCACTTGAGTAATCTGAGATGCCATCAATTTAATGAATGCTGGCATAAGTATTGGCAGTGATGCAATTGCATGAGCCCGTAACGCACTGCACAGCTCAGCAGCACACAAAACCACACTTGCTAAAAGGTTACTATTGTGAATTTGTCCTTTACAAATAACGGAAGTCATATATTCAAGAATCTAAGAACAAGATACAGGAAAAGTAAATTCACCCTCACAATAAAATAAATAAAACACAATAACAATACAGAGCAGTAAATACTAACCGGTTTGAATGTCTTGAAATTATCATAAGCTAAATGTTTTGCTAAATATTTGATGGACAGTAACGCTGTTTGTTGATTCAGGAAGACCTCTTCACTAAATTCGCCATTAGACACAGTTGTAATTGTTTTCACCACATTAAGCAGTGGTTCCAGTAAGGCAAGAAGATCCTCACTTTCACAAGATGCTAAAAATACTTCCCGTTGGCTTGAAGATAGGCGGCTGTTTAGAAGCTCCATTGCCTTACGTCTCAATGATGGGAGTTCATGCACCATAAGTCCACTTACAATATTCAGGAATAATTTACTTGGTAACAGTGCATTGACCTGAAAAAGTTGGATTATTTTAATATTTAAGCTGTAAAGAATGGAAGTAAAATTTTGGCAGTCAAATAAAGATAGATAAATACCTTGTCAAGTATATCATATGCTTGGGCAACCATTACTCTCCAGTACTTGGCCGTTGGTGTACCAACTGATATATCTGATTGACGAGAAAATACTTGGATTAAGACCAAAAGCACCTCCAGCAATTGCAAGTACACAGGCACCAAAATATCTGTGGCTTCTTCATCCATATTTGAAATCTGGTCAAAATACAACTTCTCAATTAGTTTAATTTAACTTAAAAAGTACTGTATTGAAAGAAATAAGCACACTTATTTCTTGCCTGATTGACAAAGGGTAGAGAGGAGAGTAAAGCTGACAAGAAAGTAACAATGGTATACTTGTAGTGACGAAGATGTTTGGGAGTTTGGTGATCGACATCAAATAAAGATCTGACTCTGTATTTATCCAAGTTTCCAACAGCAGCAGAGCTCTTAATCACAGGTCTCTTGATATCTCCTGGGAAATGAAATAATAGCCCTTGAAAAATTTGATTCTTACAGATGTGATTACAAGAAAACAAATAAAACTCAAATACCTTTCTCCAGAGGAAGTGATAGCAAATACTTCAGAAGTTGAATGCAATTTGAGAGAATAGTATCTGGGGGAAACTGAGTAACTATTTGAAGGGCCACTTCAATTCGTTTAGGAGCTTCTGAATTTGTCCCAGCACCTTTGTTCTTTCTATTGTCATTGGTACTTTCTGAGTGATGTACAGTATGGCTCTCCATGACAAGACATAGGAATAGCCACATGTACTGTTGAGGATCTAGAGTAGTTAGCACCTTATGGAATAAAGATAGCCGTCGATGTTCAGGAATGTCCAAGAGAGCATCAACAAACACACGCATGATTGATGCGATTGTGGCATCAAGTTGTGAGTTGGCACCAACTGAGAAAGTACCACTTTTACTAGCCTGTAAATGAAATTAGTTTTTAAGGTAAAACTTTGCTGAATGAAATAAATAATATTGAATTGCTCTTAGGAAACAAACCTTTATAAGAATGGGAATAATTGTATCAACAACTTTAGAAATTATCTGGAAACTGTATGCATCATCTTGTCGTAGCACAAGAGATCCCATGAAAGTAAAAATAGACATGATGTTCAAGAGCACTTGCTCTGGTACTAATGCTGCCACATGAGCCAGAAGAAGCAAAGCATGATGATGAGTTTGAGGGTTTTGAGTGCCTCTCACACAGTGAACAATGGATTCAATGTCAAGGACTCTGGTCACGAGGTCTGGGCTGATATTATCTAAAATAGTTGCTCCATCTGGTGCCAATTTTTGGCAACAATGCAAAACACAAGAAAGTATCAGCTGTTTGGCATATTCAACTGGAGCTTGTTCCTCAAAATAAAGGCACCTACAAAAGAAGAGGGTAATTAATTAGTGATAACACTTTAACTACACGTCAATAATAGCTAAAATCTGATGCAAAATGCATAATTCTACACTACACTTACTTCTTCAAAAGATCAAACAAAACTGGAAGTAAAAGATGAGGATTAGTTAGTTTCTTCTTATTTTGAAGAAGTTCTAAGAGTGTCATCCCACACCTCCACTCTTTGGTTTCAAGAATTTGTGGAGAGGGAGGTGACAAATTACTGCGACGCCTTGCTTGATTAGAGTTTGCAGCTACAACATTTACATCTTTCATTTTATTCAATTCAGTCACAATGAGCAAGGCATCTACAGACAACTGTTTGAAACTTCTGGAAACAGCAGATAGAACAGATGGTTTTTCAGTTTCTGTCCCAGCAGATATTAACATTGACAAAAGACGTTGTTGAATGGAGTTCTGAGGGGCAGGGAGTGCATCCCACAACTCTCTTGTCACCTGGACAGACAAATATTATGATTAGATAATTAATCTTAATGACTAGTGAAACCACAAAATGACCTTCAAAACAAACTGTACCTGGCTGCAGGCTAATTCAGCTGGACAAGAGATTTTGCCATCGACTAATAGAACTGATGTCTGCTGATTGGCCAAAAGCTCTGTGAAAACTGTCCATATTGTACCACTACTAAAAATTTTGGCTGTTTGTGAATCTATTCGATGGACAACATTATTTATAATAATAGAGCTATGCAAGTTAAATGTCTGATGCCCTTTGTTTTCAGACAGTATTTGTGCAACTATCGGCAAAAGTTTCTTTAAAACAGCCTGGAAACAAAATTAGAATAGAGAATTAATTATAAACGAAATGAAGTACAGCAGCACAAGACAGACAATAAGGGGTGTCAATACTAACTTCAGAATTAACAGAAGTTAAAACAGTAAGAAGAGCAGCGGAAATGTACTGAGGAGTGTGTTTATTCTGGACAATATTTAAAAGGGAGTCCAGTATGTTAGGTGCTACAGTCCTGTACTCTTTTGGTAACATACTTTGGACAACAGGATCAGGAGAAATTGATGAGTAGAGAACTAGCTGAAGTTGTCTGTCAATAAAAAGAAAATGAGACTCTCAAAATGATGAAATATCATCTTTATAATCAAAGAAAAGATAGTAACATGAAGACTTACTCGGCATCCAGGCTAAGTTCTTGAACTGAATCTTGGATTTGTTTGACCAAGAAGTCATATGATTGGCCACCAATTTTAGACTGTGTTTGGTTTAAGTTCTGAACAATATCTAAAGCAGCAATCCGTACAGGAGTAGCAGGGCAATATAATGCTACCAATAGAGCGGGAAAAACAATATTTTTCACTGAAAGGTCTCTAGACCATTGAGCATCTTGGCAGGATCTCAGAATCAAGCCAGCAAGGCGCAATGAACGTACTTGAATTTTCATTGAAAGTTCTCTCTCTTCTTTATGAGCATTATTTAATAGACAGTGACTTGGCCAAAAGTTTGCCAAAAACTCTACCTGCTTTTGCTGAGATGGGAAATATGCCTGCAAATTGAAATGAGAACTATAACATTTGATTTGTCTAATGTTTGTGCCCCCTCCTTCCCAAGTTGAACATACATCCCACCAAGAACAAAAAGATAGTTCATAAATTTTACCTTAAAGAAAGATTTGAGGGTGCTGACATAAGCAGACTGGGATTTATTTTCTTCAGATGCACACCCTTCAGATAGAGAGGTGTACAGCTCTACAAGTAGCCTTGTATTAGAAGAAAGTGCCTCTAAGTCAAGCCACTTCCCATTTTCATAAGAAACTTTCACATCAGACCGCTTTATAATTGTTTGCACAACTAGCAAATATCCCTCAAGAGGCATGAAGCCCTTTCTACAGACTGAAAGGCACTTCACTAGGGAAGATGCACACATTTCAGATTGGTTGCAAGTAGCAGAAACCTATGGAAGTAAAGAGAGAGCTTGGTCAGTCAATCTTGAGAGCATGCATACATGGTAGTCCTGTTGAATAAAGACAGTGTGACAAACCTTAACTCCTTTGATGAGACTACATGCAAGATGCAATGCTTCAAGACTTTTTTCCACTGGTGTTTTGAGAGGTAAACTAGCAGCAAGAAGCAGAAGAAGTGCAAACTTAGATTCCATCAAATTCAAAGAGGCATCCATTGCAAGCCTTTTCCCATATTCTAGTACAAGCTTGATATCAATTGCACCTGGCTTATTAACAATTATATTGTATATTCCTTCAACATTTTTTTCTTTTTCTGCAACAGCAATTTGGAAAACTTAAATTCAACAGTAATCAAGAAATGTAGATCAGATTATCTCTAGTCTCATCTCAAGCTACTTACGACTCTTCAGTGCTACTGTGAATTGATTCCGAGAACTAAAAGGAGAAGCTAGCACACTTTCAGTATAATCTTGTTCAACCAGCATGTGTGGCAAGAGAGCAACTAATGACTCTAATTCTTCTATGGGGTCACCTTCACCAATTTGTGTTAGATGAGAAATTACAACAGGAATAACATGAGTCCATTTGCTATCGGATCCCTGTGGCAGCACATGATTTTGAAGAACTCCAACAAGTCTTGAGTGCAGAGGAGATCTAGATAAAATTCGCTTGAGCACTGGTACGGGGAAATTCAACGCAGCCAGTACAACAAGAGCAGAATCATCTTTCAGAACATCAAGTAATGAGTCTTTCAAGGTTTGTTCATCCTTTTCCTGAAAAGAAAAAGAATAAAACTTAATCTACCTAAAACAAAACAAAAAACAATAACAAAAAACACTGGCATAAAGCCTTCTGAATTCATACCTTTAGAGTTGTACATTGTCGAGCAAGACCCAAAAGAGCTTCAGCTCTAATTCTAGACTTCTGATGATGAAGTTTGTCAAACAAATCTAGCTGAAGTTCAAACCCAAGCATTTGCCTCAAAGTTGAAGCTTGTGAAGGTGAGACACCAAGTCCTTTGAGTGCTCTACACACAGCTTTGTCAAAAACAGATGGGTAGGAGCGTTCTAATTGTTTTAAAATTTTTGAGTACCATTGTACAACTTCATGTGGAGAATTCATTTCACCTAACGCAATCACAGGTTTCTTTGACACTTCTTCTAGAGCAGATACATCAAATGCTTCAATAAACATCCTGGAAAATAAAAAGAAACTCATTGATGAAAGCAAATCATCTTCTTAACAACATTTTGCATGTTAATGAAACAACACTTTACCTTACTACTGAGTCAGCTCCAGTTTCACTAAAACGCACTTCATTTATCAAATTCTCAACAAGAGACCGCAAATCAGAGTTGTTACCAACTAGCTGCGTTTGAATCAAGGCTAACGCACCTCTCATCAAAGGCACCAGAAAAGGAACTACATCATAACCTTTTGAGGCCAACAGACCATAAGTAGAGGCAGTTTCCTTGCGAGATGCAAGCCTTGATAATGTCTTATCTGGAACTCCTTTTAAGACTTTTGACTGACTCTGATAGATGAGTACTAGAAGCATAGCCTTTTCTATTTTAAGTTCAGTATGGTCAACCTTTGAAATTCTAATGATCAATTTCTCTAAAATTTGTCTGGATGGTGAAACATTGGTTACCATCCTTCCAAATATTATATAAGAAGCTGCAGCAAAGTCCAAGACAGAAGAACCCAAACCACGTTGCAGGGTATCAATAATGTGAACCATTTGAAGCTCTGTCACTTTACCCTTACATCGGTCAAACAGCCCAAGTAAGGTGGTGCTATAGAAAGCTAGTAAAGTTGATAAAACACCAGCATACTGCCCATGTTCCTGTATAAATAAAACAAATTAGAATATCATAATATTTTTAAATTTATTTTTAGAAAAGTACTAAAAAATTGAAAACACTTATGATTAATTGTGAGTTTACCTTCACAGCTCCCATAGTTGCATCACACAGTTGTCTGAGAAAAGAAGGATTTGTAGCTACATGATTTAAAAGAGCAGATTTACTCAAAGGAAGACCCTTCTTCTTAAGGGGTTCTAGCCAGTGCCATGGATGTGATTCAGATGAAAAGTCAATAAGTTGCATAACACGAATAAAAATTCGAGACTCATGGTAAGGCAGCGCCAGCATCAAAAAGTCTTCAGCATTGTACTGATGTACATGGAACCGTTGGACAAGCCACTCAAGAGCTTTGTGTGCAGGCTTCAGAAGAAAGTAGGGAGATAATAGATAGAAAAACTTTTTGATGTTTGCATCCAATTTTCTATTGACTTCTTTTGATTGAACAGCGCGCTCAAGAGATATCGATGATAAATCAAAAAGTGTGCTCTCAAACTCTGAAAACCTGGCATATAACGTCTTTAGCTCCTCCAGACCAGCGACACCTATTAAAGGGGTAACAAGCAACAGGTGCATTAGTGTGTGATGGACTTTGTGAACATCTAACCCAAGCATATTTAAAAATGTAATATCTTTGCAAACCTAATTCATAAATTGTCTGACGGTCATAGTTAGCAGCCTCTTTTGGATCAAACAATAAGGAAGGGCGCTTCTTGTCTTGAAGCAACAACGATGTTTGTGGCGCTTGAAGTCTTTTGAGTTGTGCGGCCAAAGAGGTAGCCATTTCGAAAGCTGGGTAGTAGCTCTATATCCTGCAGAAGGACACAATTTCAATAATAATAACTCATAATGAGTTGCTTACGTCAAAGCACCTAGCAGACTCTACACAACACCTCGAGCATGTTGCTCAGGTTAGGAAAACAGATGTAAAAGTAAATTAGCTTAAGTGAACACTTACTTTGAAAATTTCAAAAATTCGTCAAAAAATCACACCGACATGATCAAATTTTGGAAACAAAAATGGACAGTTACATCAAACTGACACGAAATACCCAAAGAAAAACAGGCTCAACACCAACCTCGTGTTGTGAACCAAAACAGAAACACGCATTGAGCGCTTAATTTTTCATATCGCAGCCGACGACGGCGTTGCGCGTGATTTTTCATAGAAAAACAAAAGACGCCCGTCGGTGCCCGCGGGGCGGGAGTCGGTTCAAAATGAAGCGGGGAAAGGGTTCACTGATGTAATTGTGGATAGTCCAATCGTACAACAAGGAGGCTGGTTGTTTTCGCCCAACATGACCGAACCGCGAACGCTTGCGTAAAGACCGTCTCAAAATAAGGTGGACAGATCAGATCGGGTAGGAAGCGGGGCCAACAGGAAACAGGGCCTGGTGGTCACGGACACTCGTCATCACTCTGCTATCGCGCTGGCCCCCGGTCGCCGATACCATCAGAGTACAGTCTGGCCTGTCCTGCCGCGGCCCGCGGCGACCCCCGTCCAGTCGCTCGAAGCGCAGGCAGAGGCGCGCATCGCTAGACATGACGGCGCTGTGGTTTGTGCTGCTGGCCGCGGGGGCCCTACTGGGCCCCGCCCGGGCCCTCCCCGCCGACGTCACCACCCAGGACATCATGGACCTGAGGGGCGCCGCGAGGACGCCGAACACGGACCCGGAGCACCAGGTGAGGCATCCGTAGGAGGCTGTTCTACCATCGAAGGGGGCCCCCCTCCTGGTCCTAAGACCCGCTTTGACACGCCCTGTGTGCGCGGTGCAGGTGATCGCGTACCTGACCTACGACACCGGCGCCGGCAAGTTCCACGCCACCGTCCTGGACTCGCGGGACCCGGAGGAGGCCGAGGGCGCGATCCCCGCCGACTACGTCGCCAAGGCCGTGTACTCCAACCTCATCAACGAGACCGGGTTCGTGTGATTTGTGCAGCACCACCGTTTGGAATTGTACGACAATACCACCACCACCGTCTCGTGTATTCTCATTGTCAATGCGACCCTCAGGTGGGCGTATCTCGAGCTGCAGACGAACGCCGCCGTCGACGACGTGCTGCAGGCGCGCGGCGCCGGCGTCCTGGAGGGCTTTGTGACCGCCGACATCCTGCACATGCACGTGCACAACGTGGCGCGGCCTTTCTGCGACGGCAGGAAGGCGCTGTGCGCCCGCATCCAGCAGTTCCTCGAGCGCAACCTGCAATGGCTGGTCAAGATGTCCAACAAGCACGCCGCCACGGACGTGTACTGGCACCAGGTAGGCATGTTGTTGGGCTTCCACCTGCGCTCGAGTCCAACAAGCAC